CATGAGACTAATGCTTTGAAGATTTCTTATGGAATATTAACAAATATGTTTGACAATCAATTGAGAATTTAATTAAGATTAATATATTATTAATTAACTATTCATGGATCTCATTTCTCATATTTCTTAATTTGTATGGACATTTATTTATTGTATTTTTTTAAACCAAAATGAGGAGTGATATGTGATATATAATTTAAAAAATAATAAGTTGCTTTTATGTACTCAACATAAATTTATAAACTGGACATAAAAAATGAATATAATATCATTTAAATTTTCCAAAATAATATAATGAAATGCTACCATGTTAACACCATATGTTAGTCTAGTATTTTTCTTTGAGTGAACTCAGGTATTTTTATCCATAGATATCTACTATCATTTTTTTTACTATACCGTTAATTTTATATATATTTTTTAAATATAATAAAAAATAAAAATATAAATAAAAAATTAAAAATTAAATAAGAAACATAAATAATTATGTATTTGATTGAAAAAAAGAAGAAAATAAAAATGATAATTTATAATAAATGAAAAATTTACTCTTGTTTTTTATTTTTTAACTTTGTATTTTCATTTTAAAAAATTCCACCTTACCCACCACCGTACAGGGAATTAATCCTTTTATTTCTAAATTCCACCTTTTTTTTCACTAAAATGGATAAAAATAAAAAATAAATCAAATCACACCATTACCCTAAAAAAAAGCAAATCAATTCATTACTCTTCCGATATTTATTTCAAAATATATGTAGGTATTTATAAATACCTATAGATTTTTTATTTTATTTTTTAAAATATACATCTCTCTTAAAATATTATTTAAATATTAGTAATTAATTTCTTAATTGTTTGCATTGTAGAGGTTGGAATTCTATAGTTTCTTAATATATAATTGTATAAAATGGAGATAGAACGAATAAAATATCATTTATTCATAACATAAACTATTGATAAATCATGACATGAGTGTGAATACTATAAAACACTTTCTACCTCTCTTCTCATATATAAGAGAAAAAAACCAACTTAAAAAAATATATAAAAGTAGTTAAGTGCATTAATTTGTAATATCCTTCCTAAAATGTCATTATTGTAAAATAAAATTTATATATATATATATATATATATATATATATAAAATAATGTAACTAAAATGTATTAACTAAAGTAATAATAATTAAAATTTATTTATATTTAAAAATGTGAATTTATTAAAAAAATATATTTTAGTTTTGTGATATGCTATTATGACCCTGCTCATGTGAATATTATAGATTTGACAAATTTATTGATGTGATATATAATGATACATTAAGTTTATTGGGGAAAAAATTTAGCAAGGAATAGATAACAAAGAAAGAGAACATTAGTTGTAGTAAGTTTGCAAAAAGATAATTCTATCTCTTCTATTCCTATCCTTTCCTTCTGCTCTACTTACTTAAACTTATTCATACAATAAAAGAGTTAATATAGTAAATTGTTTTTAATTTTATCTCTTGATTTACAAGGAGCCTGAGAAAACAAAACATTTACAGTTTTAAGATTAAAAGACGTTAATTATTTTTTTAATTTAAGAGATTAAACAAATCATTTATTAATTTAAAGGACTACAAAAATATTTTAAATATATGGAAAAGTAAAATAAATTTGATCTAAAGCAAAGGATTAAAAGATATTTTAAAAAATAAATAATTTCCCGCATCAGTTATTATTATTGCATAAATATTATTAGTTGTATTAATAACGATTATAACATGGTTAATTACTATAAAAATAAAAATAAATCAATAGCATTTTCTTAAATCCATTAATTTGAAAAGAAATATTTGAAGAACTAAAAGAAAAAATAAATAAAAATGTTCATGTTTTGAGACACAAGATGTGAATACATTTATCATCTGCTAGGTAACGTTCATCAATCCTATACTAATTTTGGGTTGAAAAAAAAAGTATTTTTGATAACTTTTTTTTCATAACTAACTCTTCAACAACTTCATTTAATAATATAATACTAATTTTAAATTAATTTTATTTTAATTCATTTTTAATAATAATAATAATAATAATAAATTATGTTGTTTAATGAATATTTATGTTTTTCACTTGTCTATATATCATACATAAACTACCTGTGATTTTATTTGTGAATATAATTTTTTTTATCTTTAATCACCGTATATAATTTCAATTGCTTTATTTTTTCAATATAGCATCAACTAAAAATTTAAATGAAAAATATAAATAATTATGTATTTGATTAAAAAATAAAAAAGTGATAATTTATAATTAATGATAAAGTTAGTCTTATTTCAAAATTTAATTTATGTATACTTGAATAGTGTTATTATTGAAATTTTCTTTTCCACTATTTAAGTCTCTTCTTGGTCTTTCCTATTTTTATATGTAGTGGGTAGGAAAAAAAAAGATAAAGACACTTTAAAGAAAATTTAAAAAATGAGGAGATTTTTGTTTTCTTCTTCCATTCATATTTTTCTAGGATATTAAGACGATTTGGACCAGGAAAAAAATGTGGACAATCATATATTATTAGCAAATGTTAGTGTTATCTTAATCTTTATAAAGATATGGTATTTGAATGTGACCTTGTTTTGGGCTGAATACAAGGCCCAACTCAAGTATGAATCCACGTTGAGTTACATCAGTCCCTTTTCGTCCAATGCTTCTCTTATCAGATTTTGACAAATGTCTATGACAGGAATTATTAATAATATATTAAATTTAAATATTATTAGTTAAGTTCTTAATTAAGGTTTATTCACACTTATTTATTGTATTTTTTAACCATGAGAATTGACATGTGTAATTGTAGTTATATCATTCAAAAAATAATATTTTGTTTTTATTGTCATGATGTACGAAATATAATTCAATAAAATGGAGACAAAATGAATATAATATCAGTCTTGTTTGATTTATCATGATTATGCCAACTACACCTTTTAACCTTTTAACTTAGCATACAGGTTTATCGACTAGTATTATGATTCACTCAATATGTTAATTTAATTATAATATATAATTTAAATTTAATTTATTAATATTTATAGTTAAAAATTTAAAATTATAATATATTATAAAAATATAATTTTTAAATTGTAATTTTTTATTTAAATATATATATATATTAAAAGATTGGTTAATCCGATTATCTGTTTTTTTTAATACTAAACTAAAACTATTAATTTAACTTAAACGAGTTGATAGATTAGTCGTGCTAATTAATTTTATTATCCTTTATAATTTTTTTTCTAAAAAATAATATAAAAATATATTTTAAATCTTAAATATTAAAAAGATATTTTTAAATGTGAATTTTAAGCTTCTTAGCCAATTCATCTCAAATAAAAAATAGTTGAAAATATTATTATAACAAAATTAATTCTATTAATAATTTTTTAAAAGTTATTATTCTATTATTAGTTAACTTTTAGATAGGTTCATAATGAAAATTTTCATAAGAATATTTAGGAGAAAAAATATGGATAAAAATTATATTAATTTTTTTATAATTTTAATTTATACCAAAATTAATTTCATTTTTGCTCATTTGTTTTTATAGAAGTCCTAATGAGAATGATCCAAGTAGAACCTTAACATGATGTTTAAATATATTTTCTCAATATAGTATTTTTTTTTCTAACAAATGTTATTTTTTGCTTTTAGCTCCTATAAATGTATTATTTTTAATTTTAATATTTACAAATATTGCTACCTCTCTTCCCATATATAAGAGAAAAAAACCCACTTAAAAAAATATATGAAAGTAGTTAAGTGTATTTATTTTTAATATTCATCCTAAAATGTCATGATTTTAAAAATAAAAATTATATATATATAATAATAATAATAATAATAATAATAATAATAATAATGTAACTAAAATCTATTAAATAAAATAAAAATAATTAACATTTATTTATATTTAAAAATGTGAATTTCTTAAAAATATTTTATTTAGTCTTGTGACATGTTACTATGATCCGATCATATGAATAAGATTGATTTAACAATTTTATAGATGTGATGTATTATGATACATTAAGTTTAATGAAAAAAAATTAGCAATGAATATATTAAAAAACAATTTATATTTTTCTAGAAGAAAAAAATAATTTAATCTAAGAATCCATTATAATGAGAGTGAGAAACAATATAAAAAGTGTGAAATTCAACACTCACATTATTCTCTTTACACTGTAATTTTTTACATGGAACTGATCATTCAAGTCTCATTATTTTTTCTCTCACATTCCCTGACATTTCACTGTATGAAACAAATAAAAACAAAGCATTGAGGTTAAGAGTATAAAGCACCCTTTCACGTAAAATAATTGAATAATAAAAGCTACGCAAAAACAATTGTCGAAACGTGGACGACTCGCACCAAACAGTTCCTCGCAATTCCAACGCGTAACCTACCTCTCACGCATCGCCATCGACAGCGATGTCACTAATTGACACCCACTATTTCACACCGACGACAAAAGTCTCTGTTCAAGTAAACGGAGGAAAATATGGCCACAAATTAGGTTTCACAAACTTTTTATTTTAATCAAATTCGCCATATATAAAAACAATTAATTCCAATTTACTATTCTTCTCAACCAATTCAACTGCACTCTTTAAGTAATCCAACAAAAGCATCTCCAATAAAAAAAAATCAAATCAGTGAAGAAGATACGTTTGCAATACATGGAAGAAACATCGATGACCATTTTGTACAGCGAAACAATGAGAAGATAAAAAACTAAAAATGGTATAATTAGAAATGAAGAGTAAAAGATAGCTGTAATATGCAAGAATAGTTGTAAGGAGGAGAGGGTAGTATGGTAATAAAAGGTAAGAAGGTGGGTACTTTGACGGGGAGAAGGCTTTAAAAGGAGGGTGGAGTTTGAAACAGAAGTGTGTCCATTAAAAGAAGTACCAATATAACATCCAAAATCTCTCTCTCTCTTCTCTCTTTCTTGAAGATGGGTGAGATCGCAGAGAAGAGGTATGCCTTGTTGATGTGCGGTGAGGATTCGGAGTACTTGCTGAAGATGCACGGAGGCTGTTACGGGATCTTTGGGAAATTGCTGGCGGAGGAGGGGGAGAGATGGGACCTTTATAAGGTGGTGCAGGGACACTTTCCAGAGCACCATGAGTTGTGTCTCTACGATGGCTTTGTCATCACTGGAAGCTGCTACGATGCTCATGCCAACGATCCTTGGATCCTTCAACTCCTCCAGCTCGTCATCAAATTGGACTCTATGCACAAGAAAATCCTTGGCATTTGTTTTGGCCACCAGGTTCGTTACTGTCACAATCAATTCATCACCTACTTTCAGTTTCAATTTCAATTTTTATCTTTTTTTAGTTTCTCTCTATGTATGGTCTGAATCTGTATCGTATTATTATCTTTTGGATTGGCTTTCTTATTTTAAAATATTCTGAAAATGTATCATTTATTGTTATCTGTTTCATCATGTGCTTATTATATAATTGCCAAATCATAAAATCAATTTACCTAAATATATACACTTAAGAATAAAAATGTCTAACTCTTTCAAGCAACATATTTAGTTGAACTTTTTTTTTTTAGTAAATATCATAGCCAGCTAAATGTTAAACAGTCCCAATCACTTTCATAACAAACTGGAGTGAACTGTTTTTATAGAGGATTGAATCTATCTGTTTAAAAATGGAAAAACATTGAGTCATGTGTATTAATTAGCTCAAAACATAGTTTGATTCAAAATTGAGAAGAGGTTGAACAGTTTTTCAATTTGATTCACTCATGCAGTAATGAAATTCTTTTAGTCTTTTGAAAAAAAGATAACAAATAATCTGAGTTAGAGATTGTAGTACGAGGAGAAAAGTTGATAAGGCTCTGGATACATATTTCCGAAATGACGTGTGGTCTAATCCGTCGGAAGAAAAAAAGCTGTGAATACTAATATTTATGTTACTTACTCTGGTCCATATATGTTGGAAAGTTTGTTGGTCCTATCCACAATGATCTTTTAACTTATGGGATTAAATTTGTAGGTTAAGTTTGGACTCTGTCTTATGTTCATGAAATGATGAATGATTCATTCTTGTTCGAGTGTTGTAACTAAAATTGTACTTATTCATTGTATCTGTCTTCTCCTGCACATCACATTTCATACAGCACAAATATTTCAGTACACCACTAAAATATTGTGTGGAATTACATGGTGCATTAATATTCTTTTTGGAATTTTGTGTGGAATTTTATGCCATGAAAAAAATTCCATTTTCTGCATGCTCCTAATTTATCTACTTTGGCCCCACTAAAAAAAAGTTTGTGGTGAGCCTGCGTTTGACAAAAGGCAAAATAAAGCCAGCACAAGAAGAATCATAGGATTGATTCTTTTCTTTTTCATTTTGATGACTTCTTGTGGCTGATTTTTGGTGCATCATTATCACCTTTTTTTAGTGTCATTAGCGTGTTGACGGATACATAGTATAAAAACATGAGCATATTTTTATTAAGACAAATATATCTTAAAATAATAATTACAACAAAGATTTTATGGGTATATATGATTTAGAAAAAAAAAAAACATGTTTCTATTCTGAAATCTCTTGGTTTCCATTCTATAGCCAGAGCTATAAGAACAAGAGTAAGAAAATATATATCCTCTCATGGAGAAAATATATTCATGTCTTAAATAAATGTTATATAAACTCTGAATGTATTGTACCCAATGAAAGTCTTGACATTTGTGTGGCATGTAAATAGATAGTTGGGCGAGCATTGGGAGGAAAGGTGGGTCGGTCTCCCAAGGGTTGGGACATTGGTGTTAAAGCTATAAACTTGTCATCCTCTTTGCCATTGCCATTCTTATCTCTCAACCTCCCATCAAAGCTTTCAATATACAAATGCCACAGGGATGAGGTGAGTGTGTAATTTCCAAACATACTCATGAATCATGATATAACCTTTTCTTATGATATACTACTATAGTACTGAAGTGACTGACTTACGTTGAATTATAGATCCTAGAGCTCCCTCCCAAAGCAGAGGTGATTGCTTCATCAGAAATGACTGGAATTGAGATGTTTAGCTATGGAGATCACATCTTTGGCATTCAAGGCCATCCTGAATTCACCTATGACATCCTCTTGCACTTTATAGACCGTATTATTACCCGAAATTTGGTCCAGGTAAATATATATTACCTTATATGCTCATTTTCTTTTCTTGCATTAACCTTGTTTGTTTTGATTTTGAATGAAGTTAATGGATGTTTGGGATATTAGGAAGCTTTTGCTTTGGATGCAAAGGACAAGGCAGCATTGCTAGATCCAGACAGAGAGATTTTGAAAAGAATCTGCGTGGATTTTCTTAAGGGTCGATTGTGATTCTGACTTACTATGATGATTTCAAAGAGGCAAAAATGGAGTATTGTAAAATAGTACCGTTGTGATATTTGGAATATTATAACTAATGTGTAATACTCAGTTTGCGTGTGGTCTTTCTATGTGCCACAATTCCACAACATTATCTATTTGCTCATCACATTTATTTAACTAATCACCTCTTCTTGTTAATATGTTCAATTTATTGTTAGTATTTTACTACAACATTATCAACAAATGATGCTAAATCCACCTACGCTGGTTAAGCCTTTTTTTTTTTTGGACTCCACTGCATCCTATTCTCTTTTAGTTGATTCCACTCCCACTGATTTTTCCATATATATATATAAATAAACTAGCAGTTATAAAAGATATTGTTTTTTAGTTTCTTTTTAGTCCTTATATTTCATTCCGCACGTTTAAGTTTTGTTTTTTGTTTTTTTTTTCTTTTTTATAAAATCAACACATAATTCATTTTTCAAAGACAATCCTTAAGACTAGTGCCTACTCATTGTAGGATTATTAAAATCTAAACACAATGAAATTTAATGTGAGAATAGAGATCTAATATATAAAATTATAGAATAAACTAAACTTTCAAAATAGAGAATCAGAATTAAATTAATATTCCTGTAAAAGAACCTAAATTAATATTGACGTAAACTATAGTTGAAAGATGTGCTTAAGTTATTCTCTATTACAAATTGTATCACGGATTAAACTTAAAACTTTTATTAAATACCTCATTCAATCTATAATTAAGTTGGATATAAAAAATTACAAGATAATAGGTGTATTCTTGAGAAATTACCAATATCTAATAATATTTGAATCTCGTCATCATATATTGCTTGAGTTTGAGCCTGTATACCATTCAAAAATACTGAACTGTAATATTTGAGCCTCACAACTATAATATTTAAGAAAAACAAAATTTTGTGAAAAGGGAAAACAATAAACTACATAAAAATATTTTCATATTAATTTTTTTTAATCACAGAAATTTCATGCAATTTTCAATAAAAATATCATTTTATTAATTACAACGAGTTATAAACATTTTTTAACAACTATTTTTTGTCTTTAATTAAATATATTTTTTACTTACTTCTTTAAGTAATTTCTTCAGTTTTTTTTCACCTTTTATTCCCACTCATAAAGTATTCTTTTTATAGTAGTTCTTTTAGAGTTTGTACTAGTAAATATTCTTTATACAATAGCATGTTCAAGCATTTTATTTTTACAAGTGTTTTTTACATAGTAACTTTTCCAAAATTTGTATTTTTCACGTATTATTTACATCATAACCTCTTTAGATTTCATATTCATTTCGACTAAAACTAACTTCTTTATAAAGAAGGATAAGAATTTTCACTCTCCGTATAAATTATTTCTCTAGGAAACGCTCATAGGATAGCTTTTTAAATATTTGTATTTAAAAATAGTTTGCTAAAAGAAAAATATATATTTTATTTTTATCATATTCTATAGTACTACTGAAGCCTAATTTTTTTCTTAAACTTTCTCTTTATTTTATATTTTAAAAATGTAATATAATAATAAAGATGCAAGCTTTAGTTTCAGAATAAATATTCAAAAGTGTTCTAATATTTAATACATAAAATATTATTTACGTAATTTCTTAGCAACAGAAAATGATGACTACCCTACTCTACTTTGATATATATTAAAATAAAAATGTCTGAGTTCACTTAAAGAAAAATACACTTAAACATATGGTGTTAACATTGTAGCATTTAGTTATGCATTTCCAAAAAATGTTGTAGTTATTAAGTTGCACAAATATTCAACCTAATTCTGTAAACCAAAGATTACAAAAATATGAAAGTACTTTAATAGTATTCCCACTCATGATTTATTATTAATTATATTATTTTGAGATATTTAAATAATATTATGATATGTCCAGTTTATACATTTATATTTAGTACATCATGCCAATCAAAATCAAATTATTATTTTTTAAATGATGTAAGTATAAATGAAACATACCACTATTTAATTTGGTAAGAGTACAGTAAATAGTACATGTTATGAAAGTATGGGATTCTGACCTTTATAATGCACATGTTAAATAAAACAATTAAGAACTTAATCAATAATATTTAAATTAAATATTATTATTAAATTCTCAATTGATTGAGACAGGCATTTGTCACATAAGATATCTTTAAAGTATTATACTAAAATGATTGATTTGTATACACTAATAATATAAGTCACATTTATAATTTATCTTTACATACCATAACGTACAAAAATATTCTTTTATATTTTTTATTCTTTGGACCCTAATATGAGAAAGAAGATTATTACACATAAAAAAAATAAAGGTAAAATATGATTTATTTTAATGAGATGATGCTAGGAGAAAGTATGCGGTAATATACCTACTGTATAATAATCCAATTCTTTTTTTCTCGTCCAAATCTTCATAATATTATAAAAAATTAGATGAATGGAAGAAGAAGAAAAAATCATTTTCACTTTTTTTTGTTTAATTTTTCTTAACTTGACTCTATCTCTTCTCCTACCCAGTACATATATACAAATTGAGAAAGACGAAGAGGAAACTTGAGTCTTTGAAAAGAGACATAGAAAAGAAAATTACAACAATACTACTATTCAAGTCAATGCAAATTCATTTTTTTTTTTAAATGAAAACATCAAAGTTAAAAAATAAAAAACAAGAGTAAAATTTTCATTTATTATAAATTATCATTTTTATTTTCTTCTTCTTTTCAATCAAATAAATAATTTATGTTTCTTATTTAATTTTTAATTTTGTATTTATATATTTAGTTGTTATTATATTTAAATATATATATTTAAATATATATATATATATATATATATATATATATATATATTGTTGGACAACTAATAATAATTATGATCCTGATTTTGATTCTATATCTTATACTCATAAACATGTTGTAAACTGAATGCGAAAACGTACCTGAATTAGCCATAATGATGATATTATTGTAGAGTACTATTAATCTTATGGTCTTCCACCTGAAGAGCACCTGTATTTCCCTCTTGATTTTTTCTCTTGATGGGGATAGAAAAAAAGGAATGAGACTAAGACTTACGTTCCGTGTGTGCTCCCGAAGGGGACCACGACCCTTTAAATAACCAGAATTAGGTTAATTACTTAAGTTTTAGTATTTCCAATTTGACCCCTCAACAAATTAGAAATTGCTCTATGGTTTCTACACAAATTTTTTTCATGACATATGTCTTTAGCCAAACTTTTTAATTTAGTCAGATCACTTTATTATTTGGCTTAATAAATAATGACCCTAACATATTTAAATTATGTATCATATATATATATATATATATATATATACACATGACCCAATATTTGCCAATAATCTCCCACTGATCACAAATATATATGTCCTTATAACCTTACAAATGTATTAGACTTTATGAGCTCAAAATTGCCATTATATTCCTTTAGCATACTCCAAAAGTCCCGTTCATTGATCATATCAGAATATAGAACCAAACCAGCTTTTCATTGCATCATCGTAACTAAAACCAACAATGATTACTAATCCTGACATAACTAAATGACATGGATTCATCATGAAATGTATAGCATGAAAAATTACGTGAAGGTCTGTACATGTCTATTTTTAACTGGTCTAAACTTTAACTTATCGATATCAATATAATAACCTTAATGTACAAAGTGTAATGAATGAACGATAAAAACCGCATATCTATAGATAACCAAATATGTCAAAAAAATCAATGTATACATATATGAAATTAAACATAGAACATAAAATATATGAAAATGACTAACTCTCATTAAACCACAAATTCCTCAAATTGTAAAACACCCATGTGAGCAACATGTTTGTCGTCGCCGTCAAAACAAGGCAGTCGGAGCGACGCGATGGTTCCGACTTTCTAATTTTCGCGTTTTTATTGGTGTGGTTACAACGCCTTTAGGTTGTCCGATAACCGGGCTGAACCTAGAGACGAGGTTTTCGAAAAGGCGTTCTTGGATTGTTCGATAACCGGGCTAACCCAAGAACTAATTTTGAAGGGTTCTTCTGGAGTCACCACCGATGTTTCTACCGGAAACATCGGAAAAGGAGTGAAAAGACGTCGGTTTTCGAAAAACCAACTTTGGTCATTAGAACCAGAGTTGGGTAAGGGAGTTAGTTACGTGTAAGGGAAGTGTTAGTTCCCTTACGACGCCCCTTTCGAGTTCCCTATGATAGGCCAGCTATTTAAATAAGTAAACCGGTGAAAATACGCTTTTACCCTTTATTTACGGAATTTAAAGTTACGACTACATGACCCTAATATCTATTGCGCAATTTAAAGATAAAGCAGTAAAGAGAGAGAGAGAATGTAGAAACCTCCGAGGCAAACTTTATATAAATCTTTTGACAATTGGGGTGCTTTTTGGCAGCCCCTCGCTCTCTACAGTGCCGGAAACCTCTCAAAAATACTATAAAAACTCTTAGAAAACTCCGAAAGTGCTTCGGAGGGGTTCTAGGAAGAGAATTTTATGAAGTGACAAGAGAGAGAATGGAAAAACTGTGTGAAATGAGGGGAATGGCGCGGCTATTTATAGGGATTCGCGCCTGTCAGGTTAAGACGGCCGTCTCGCCAAACGAGATGACGGTCTCGACTTGCAGGAGTGGCGAGACGGCGGTTCCGAGAAGCGAGATAGCGGTCTCGACCCTAAAAGGCGAAAATCCTTATTTACATGCAGAAAATCCCTCCTATCCTAGTATGAGGCCTGATAGTCTCTCCTAGTGGCTTCTTAGGCTTCGTCCATCTTCGAATAGAAGGTCTTCTGATCTTTATTATGAGGCCGGACAAGATTTGGGGTCTATAGCTGCCCCCCCTTTACCTGACCAGTCGACTGTTGGCCTGTTGTGCCAAGAAGGTCGACTGGAAGGTAAAGCAGTTGACCCTCTTGCCCGGTTACCCTTCGGATGTTCCGTCTT